CCGATGATTGCCCAATTTTATTGGCAACATCTTTGTGGGGTTTCCCATATCAACAACCCGGGAAACCCCCAGAAAAAGGAGCCGGGGCGGAGAATTTCACCACTCAGTTTTCGTACTTTTTTTCCCGACTTTCACTCTAGAGGAAAAAGAGGTGATGGTGGAGTCTTTAACTCGCCAGCAATGCGTTTTTTGCGTCTGGATGACACGGGGAGCGGAAACGCACCCCTTCTGCCCTTTAAAAACCAAAAAAGTCTCTTCCCTGGTTTTATTGTAACCAGTACCTGCCCCATGCAGCCGTTTCAAACGTACTGCATGAGCACAACAGGGACCCCCCAAGGCACGCATTTTGGAATGCCTGCCCCGAAGTTTGGGGTATACAATTAAAAGCTGCGGTTAAAACGGGGACGGAAGGTGTAAAACCCTCATCAATGGAGGACGAAAAAAGGAACCCTCTCAAAAACATTAGGGGGGAGAAAAGGTTCCCAATTTCCCTGATAAAATTGCCAGCAGGGATGCGAAGGGGTGGTGAAAAAAGGGGGGAAGTAAGAAGATTAGGAAATGACGCTGCATGTAAGTCCGGGAGAACAACCAAGTGAAAGTCTAATGCAGCGGGGGAACAGCAAAAAATGAGAGATCGTGCAAGGAAAGTATGAGTCCAAGGAAAAAAATGGGGGTGTGATTAACCCTGTATTAAAACAGGAGGGGGTGGGTGGCAAGAAAAGCCTCTAACTGAATGCCACGGGAATCACAGTGAGCCCTCCCCAGAAAAAGGGGGCATTAAAATGCCAAGTAACAAATCGTGGCGGAAGACGAAACAATAAAGGCAAAACGGGAATAGATAACCCCCGAGAAGGAGAAGATATAAAGAACGAGCGTATACCCCCTATCAATGGATAGGGGCTGCTTGAAATGCGGCAAGTAGGGAAAACAAATACTGATGGGTACAGAATATCAGTGCGAGAAGAAGGCACTTTCTTTAAAAGGGTCCCATCGGGAAAAAGGATTTGAAGAATACAATAAATTAAGCCTGAGATGGGAAGATAACAGCAAGTGAAAATTTTGGGTTTCCTGAAAAGCAAACACCACGGGGGAAAACTGGGGGAGTAACATCTGAACCACCCCGAACCCCTGAGACCACGTATATTCCACCAAAATGGGCCCATGTTTGGCAATGAAAAGTTTATTAATCCCGGGAAAGGGTTCCTACGGACTAGGGGGGTTTTAGAAAAGCCCACATGCAGGGGGCGGGCGGAAACGTTCAAGCAGCAAAGGAACGGGCGCTGTGAAGAAAGAGTTGCGCAGATGGGGGAAAGGGGAGAGAAAAGGAAAGGGGGTGGATCATTGTTCATTGATGGTTTGGTCCTGAAATTTTTTCAGAGTTGCTTTCAAGGTTTTCGGAATTCGAGACTCGTAGGGGAGACAATATCGAGATGGTAGGGGCAGGATGAGTAAAGATTGGAACGGTAAGGGACGTCCAAAGGGGTAGGGGGGGAAAAAGGGTGTAGGGAACTGAGAAAATTTGGGAAAAGGGGGGCAAAAGGCAGAAACCTGGGAGGTGCAAAAAAGGGGGAAAACCTGGGGGGAACAGGGGAGGTAGGTATAGTGAGGAAAAGGGTGAACCTCACACTTGTAACAGACCCATGGGGGGAAAGAACCCAGTACAGAGACGGGAAGGAAAAATGAGGAGGTGGAAGTGGGGAAAAGGGGGGGTTAAAGGGACCTTTTTTTTGATTTCTGAAAAGAGAGGGACGATTGCGGGAGGGCGTACGGGTCTCGTCGATACGAGGCTTGTGGGGAGAACACTAAAAAGCGGAACAGACTGAGGGTTGAGTGGGGAAATGTCTGGCCTAGGACAGAAAAGGGAATTAGTACAGGATGATTTGGGGAGGGGGGAACCACAGAGGAGGCTGCAAAAGATGGGGGCCCCCCCCCCCCCCCCAAAGGGGGGACTTTTTGAAACAGGGGAATAAGAAACACGAGGTATCCCCCTCGGGTGGAGAAAAAAAACTCCATGGCTAAGGGAGACCTTCTGCCTCTTGAGGTAAGGGTTTTCCCCCGCTCATTTAAGTTGATTTGGGCAATGGCGAGATACGAAGGGTGAGCCTCGACAATTAAGGCGGGGGGGTCGATTGAAAAGACGTATTAGAATGGTCATGGGGCACCACAGACTGGGCTTGGCTAGGGAAGAAATATTCGCTGGATGGCCCAAAAATTCCAGAAATTTTTTACACTGTTGGGGTTGGGGACACCTTTCAAACTTGTAACCAATGTCCTGCTACATAAACTGAGGGTGGATTCAGGGGCTGCAAAAGTTAAACGGCTACATTGGGTTTGGGGAGTCTTGGAGTTCCGCTGTTCAAGAATGCAATGCCACTGTCGGGAAATTTTGTTGAACTAGGGTATGGGGCAAGAGGGGTCCCCACACAAGAATTGAGGGAATGATTTTTTTTCAAAGGACGGGAAACAGTTCTATAGGGGAAAAAAGAGAAAGATCATGAGCTTGGGTGGCATTCTGTACAGTGATAGCCGTACCGCCTTTTAAAGCTGAAAAAAATATCTTTCCAACATGGCGTAGGAGTGCCTTGCCAATACTGTGGGCGGAAAGATAGGCGGTAGGAAGTGGGCGTAAAGGAGAATTTAATCCATTGTGCAGTCTGAAACGAGCGGGAAGGGAGTGCAGGACGGTTGATTTTTCTGAAAAAGAGAAAGGGGGAGAAGTATCACGGGTAAAATGCGTTGGGATTTAGGGGGGACCAAATTGGGGCCGCGTGGGGAAAGGGGCCGGGATTTGAAATTGCCCCCACTGTAGAGGGAGGGCCGGGAACATAGCAAAGGGGAGCAGAGGTCAGATAAACAAAGGAGTCGTCGGACCTCAGTACCTGAACGGTGAGGAAAAAAGCACGGCAAGAGGTACAGAGGTAAGGGGTGTCCGAAGAGTGGCCAAGACGAGGCGGGGGCAAACGGGGGCGGGGATCAAGAAGGGCCCGGGGGGGAAACAGGTTCGGACTGGGGTGCCATGGTTAGGTTTCTTCCTTTTTTTTTTTTTGAAGGAAAAAAAAAAAAGAAAAAAAAAAAAAAAAAAAAGAATAAAAAAAGGGGGGCCGGGAGGAAATTCCTAGGGGGAAGAAAGGGCCAGAAATCTCCCTCTGCCCCAAGAGGACCCAGCACCGTAAGTACCGTTAGATGCACATGGAACCCGGCCATACCATACCCCTCATGCCGTAAACTAGCAACCGGATACAACCCCACATCTGCCGATACCTCATGGGCAAAAACGAGGGCGGCTGGGTATCCACCCCAAAGCATACCTCCCTTTGGCCACCACCCCCGGGAACCGAAAGGGGGCTTTCCGAGATACACCCCCTTGCCTGAAAAACACCCAAAGCCACTCTCCGGGGTACCGGGGAGAGATTTGGGGCATCCCCCGGCGACCCAGATTCCCAGCAAAACTAGCCCCCACCCAAAAACCAGGAACTAGCACCTTTGGGAAAAAAAACCCAAAAAGGGCCCAAAAAAAAAGGGAAGGGCAAAAGGAGGGGGGGGGGGGGGAGGGGGAAAGGGAAAAGGGGGGGATGGGATGGGAAGGGGGAGGGAGGAATTTGGCAACGAGGAAGGGGACCCACGGTCTAATTCCTCAACCAAGAACCTCTTCCCCACCCAAAGCCCCCCTTTAAAAAACCATTCCAACACCCCAAAAAAATTCCCAAAAAAAAAGAAATAAATAAACAAAAAAACCTTTTTAAATCTTTTTATAACTATAAAAAACATTTATTTTTCAAAAATAAAATTTAAAAAATCAAAACACCAAACAAATACTAATAAAACAATATTAATAAAAAAAAATTTTTTTCCTCCCAAATAATAAAAATTCTTACAAAGTGTGGTGGGGGGTTTTTGGTTTTGGGGGTTTTTGAGGGCCAAGAATCATAACCGTACATAAGTGGTGGTGGTGGGGGCAGCAAGGGCCCCCCCACTATTTACCTGAAACAATTACGTAATTTTTAAATAAGAAATATTTTCACTTACCTTGGAGAATGCTGGCCTGGTTAGGGGGGTGGAAGATAGCAGGGGGGGCTTTATTGTATTGGGCCCAGTACCAACATTGGGGGAGTCAGTTTCATGTCGTCCTTTTTCTACCGCTTAACTTTCTTGCTACACTGTTAATGCTACACTTTATCGCTGGCTGGCCCTACATCCTTATCGCTCGGCTTTAGTATCTACAATCTAGAACGCCGCATCATTGAAGAAGGCACATTCCCCCCTCTTTTTCCTCCTTCACTTTCGTACTTTGCTTGGAGTTCTTTCTTGAATTCTATCATGTTTCTCACTTTCTTTACCAAAGGGCTGGCACTAGGAACTTTCTTTGGGCCCATGGTGGCTTATTTTGCAGTTGCACTCAATCAATAACCACAAAAACAATGCATAATCATATGCGGAATCTTCCTCACCCAGACACACAACCAGACTCACGAATGCAGCAGGTGGACGCGTCTAATTCGGCCAATCTCCAAAATAATGGCCAATAACCGGGATATAATTTCGGCTCAAAAAGCGGGCAAAAACCGAATTGGCCAATATCCAGAACAGCCGATAGCCAATGGCCCACTGTACCTGTTTTTGTATGCCAGCAGATTTATGATACACCAAGCTCAAATTTCAGTATTTTTCTTTTTTTTTATAATTGAGGAGTAGTGCTAAATCTGAATTTTATCTGAATAGGAAATCAAGGTGGAGTTCCTTTTATCAAGAGTCCCCTCACAAGCACCAAGGTCCTCCCTCAAGATGTCTTATTCTAAGTTTGGTGGAACATATGATGCCTTTCTACTCATCACTCCCCCACACAAGTTTTATGAAACATTTACAGAAGAGCTCCTCAGTGCTGAAGAAAGTTTGGAGAGCTTCTGTGCAAGGGTTTGCTACAGCCTTATGTGCTAGCTGTCCTACTCATTGAGCCTTCATCACACTCTGCTTTTTACCTTTTAATTCCTTAACTTTTTCAGAGCTCAAGTAGAGATGAATTGGAAGAGGAAGAAGACTATGAAGATGAGGAGGAGGAGGAACAACATGCAAGGAAAAAGACCAAGAAGCATCAACGTTCTAGGTGGCTGTAATAATATCCTCCAAAACCTCAGCATCCTATACATCACAGCAAGTCATCCTCACATTCATGGTGAAATTATTTAAAAACTAAAGGAAAAGATAGCCTTCACTTACAAACGGTATAAGCTGATATTTTTTTTATTAAGACATCGGCCGATTCCCACCAAGGCAGGGTGGCCTGAAAAAGAAAAACTTTCATCATATATATGAGGTTTTATCCACATCTGCAAGAAATAACCCTTTTTTTTTTAATTTTGTCTGTAAATTAAAGCTCCAATAGTATGGAATAACTTACCTGATGTGCCTACTGTATCAGCCACCTTCATAACAGACAATAAAAAACAACTACTTTAATGATGTATATTCTGTTATGCTAGATTACAAAACCACCTAACCTGTATGTAGGGCTAACATCTGCTGTCATTCATATATCCTAACTATATTATGTCCATTATTTTTTTAAAACTCATATTAATTATACTGTATGTCACACCACATTAGATGTCACAAATAAATTAAGACAGTTCTCCAAACAAAAGAATGTAATGATAGTTGTTAGAGTGCAATGAACACTTTTCCGTGTTGAAAGAAAACCCCATATGTTGACGAGAGACAAAACTGATAGGTGTGCTTGCGCTTGTGTACAGCCAAAGATTTTAACTCTGCAACCACATATGTATAGGCGAGTACACACATGCTTGAAATCTGTGAACATACTTTTTTTTTTCCAACACACTGGCCATCTCCCACCAAGGTATTGTGACCAAGAAAGAAACATTTTCACCATCATTCACACATAATCACTGTCTTTACAGAGGCACACAGATATGACAGTTCATATGTCACTCCAAACAGCAAATATCCCAAAACCCTGCTTTAAAGTGCGGGCATTGTATTTCCTACCTCCAGGACTCAAGTCTGGCTAATTGGTTTCCTTGAATTCCTTCACAAAATATTACCCTGCTCACCTCCAACAGCTGGTCAAGTCTCAAAAACCATTTGTCTCCACTCCTGTCTAACATGCTTACACATGCCTGCTGTATGTTCAAGCCCCTTGCACAGAAAACCTCTTTTACCCCCTCCATCCTTTACTAGGATGACCCCCCTACCCCTCCTCCCCTCCACTACAGATTTATACACCCTCCAAGTCAACCTATTTTGCTCCATCCTCTCTAAATGACCAAAATACCTCAGCAACCCCTCTCAGCCCTCTGAGTAATACTTTTAGTAACTCCACACCTCCTGTTCAAATGTCACTCCAAACAGCAAATATCCAAAACCCCTCCTTTAAAATGCAGGCATTTTACTATCCACCTCCAGGACTTGAGTCTGGCTAACCAGTTTTCCTGAATCCCTTCACAACACTCCAACAGCTCAAGTCTCAAAACATATTTGTCTCCATTCACTCCTGTCTAAACACACTCCACACAGATCGTATATGTTCCATTCATAGTCGAAAAAATCTAAACATATGTAATGCTGCAATATTAAATCATAAATAAATATGAATTTCTTTTTCACGTTATTGTTTCATTTTTGGTGTCTAGTGTTAGTAATACAGTGGTACCCCGAGTTTCTGCCATAATTTGTTCCAGAAAGCTGTTCGAGTGTTGTTACTGAATGAATTTGTTCCCATAAGGAATAATGTAAATTAGATTAGTCTGTTTCAGACCCCCAAAAATACACTTACAAAAGCAGTTACAATAATACACTTCCATAATTGTTCGAGTTGGGAGCTGTACGAAACTCGGAGTACCACTGTACTTATTATATCTACAAGGGTTTTGTATCATACAAGACAATATTGATGTAGGTACTGACAGACAGATGATTCATCTTGTAAACAGACAATGTAAACTTACGGTATTGATAAATACAGTAAAGTAAATGCATTTTCTCTTCCTTGTGATTTTCTTAATCACATTTGCTTTTCTCTAGCTTACTTTATTGTAACAATACAGTATATAATACATACACAAAATGTGTGTTAATTAACTGTTTATGTTATCAGTAAGGATTCCAGTCAACAGTAGGCAATTAGCAGTTAAGTTTTTGAGGAGTCAAAAGTTATATGTGGACTTTTGACTGCGCGGGGGTTATCGACGCCTCTAATCCCCGCATTGTTTAAGGGTCAACTGTATATATAAATTAATTTATACATCCCAGAATTTATATTTATATTGCAATCAATATTATTTTTTATGCAGCTTGATTTAATTATATTTTGCTCAACCATGGACCTGCTTGATACAACCTTCATGGCATTTTCAAAATCAATATTATTATAATTATAATCAAAAGAAGCGCTTAACTGCAAGGGCCAAAATCAATAGGGTGGGTAAAATCTCTCACATGAATAAACAAAGCATTACTCTTGTCCAGTTCTAGTGTACATAAGAGAAATTATTTGTTGGTTTTCTGTATATGTTGAATTTAAATTCTTAGTTCCCTTAATAATTAAAACATTTAATAAGGCAATGAGTTATTTCATTCAAGCTCAACATTAAACATATGGGTGGAGCTAGACTAATTGCAGTAGGAATTGGCTATATCTGTATTCTTGGGCATTAAGCATAAAATGTAATCCACATATCTATATCATTTGGATTTATCAAGAAAAATTCTGTTAAGCAGTTTTGTTTCAAATGATTCCACAAACTGCTAAGGACTGGTGAGAGGATTTCCTATTGCCATACCAGATTTCTGTAAAACTTGTCATTAACACAAATTTTGTATCAACAATGCAAAATTTAACAAGTTCAATGATTGTTGGCACAGGCAATGGTAAATCGTAATTACAGAGGTCTTCAGATGCAAAAATGAGTCATCAACTGGCACTTTTGTGAACAACGATGTGACATCAAAATTAAGCATACTGTAATAATTTCAGTCAATCATGATGCTTAGTTTGTAAATCAAATCAATACATTATTCTTAACATTAAACTTAGAAACTTTGCCTACAACTGGGCTCAGTATACCTACTAGCCATCAGAATAATATGTGGGCAACTGAGCCAATGAAGATAATTATGGGTCTGGCTAGATTACCTGACTTGGGTGTTTCGATTAATTCATACATGTATAGCAAAGAAGGATTGGTGGCCATAAATTTGTTTTGCAACTTACAAATTATTGACTTTTTGAGTGGTTGCAAAACTGACCAAAACCTAGAGCAGCAGTTGTGTTCATATTTAACCCTTTCAGGGTTGGTGCCGTACTAGTACGGCTTGCACGCCAGGGTTGGTGCCATACTAGTACACATAAATTCTAGCACCTTCAAATCTAGCGAGAGAAAGCTGGTAGGTCTACATATGAAAGAATGGGTCTATGTGGTCAGTGTGTGCAGTATAAGAAAAAAAAATCCTGCAGCACACTGCATAATGAGGAAAAAAAAATCTCTGACCGTGTTTTTGGTTTAAAACAGCGACTTTACAGTGTATTTTCATATGCTATTTATGGTTGTATTCTATTTTTCTTTGTCTCATTTTATAGAATGGAAGACATATTACAGAAATTGAGATGATTTTTATTGGTTTCACAATGAAAAGTACCTTGAAATTGAGCTCAAAGTAGCAGAAATGTTCGATTTTTACCAAAAACAAAACATGCCATGTGTCCAATACACATCAACTGGTGAGTCTAATATTCTTTCATAAGTGTGCTGATATTATTTATACCATTTCTACACTAATGCAGTAGTCTGCATAACAGTAAATCTTCTATTTTTTGTGAGATTAAAAATTCAAAGTGGAAAGCAAAAGAAATGTAACAGAGGCCTGGGGACGTGACTAATGAACAGAGGAAATGTTATTTTAGTGCCAGGAATGTCTGTCTTGTTTATTCTGGACTCTATTTGGAAATTGGCATCTTTTGAAATTTGTGTGAAATTGGCAAAATTGCCAATTTTGGACCACTTTATTGGATAGTTGAAATTGGTAAATGGGTAGTTTCTTGTACTCATTCGATAGAAAAAATGGAGTTCTAGCGAAATAATTATGATTTTTGTCAACTGGTACATTGGAATTGGCCGAAAATAGGGCTCAAAGTGAGCGAAATCGCTAATGCGTAAACATCGTCGAGACCGCTAACTTTGCGAGAGCATAATTCCATAAGTTTTCCATCAAATTTCATACTTTTGGTGTCATTATGATCGGGAAAAGATTCTCTATCATTCCAGGAGAAAAAAAAATTATTTTTTTTTTTTTTTTTAAATTTCCGACCCTGAGAACAAGTTTAGGAGAGGGCCTGCCGACCCTGAAAGGGTTAATGTTTCATCTGACAAGTTAATTACAAAGCTGTTATTAGCATGTATATTCCAGTCACTTTTTCCAATTAGATTGTCTAACTTGCATTTTAATTTGTTTTTGAGTTCATTACAAACTCACAAGAGTTTATTGTATACCCTGATTAAAGCAATATTATTTGGATGTCAATATTCAGAATGCCTTCTTTTCTAAAATTTTAGTAATTTCAACACGTTTCTGTAAAATAAGTCTCACGATATTATCAAAAGGGCAATCTTTCATACCAAGAAGTCAATTTGGCAAAAGAGATTTAGGCAAAACATGTTCATTAAAACAATTTTATTTAAAATTAAGCAGAATTTTAAGCTTATGTGACTCGATCAATGCAGAAGATAACTAAGGAAACAAAAGGAGCATGATTAGGAAAACTTACCAAGAATATTCTGAAGGGTCATGTGGCATCCATTAACCCTTTGACTGTCGGTGTCGTATATACATATGTCTTATGAGCCAGTGTCGGTGACGTATTAATACGCCAAAATTCTAGCAGCTTCAAATCAAGCAGGAGAAAGCTGGTACGCCCACATGTGAGAGAATGGGTCTGTGTGGTCAGTGTGTGCAGTATAAAAAAATCGTGCAGCATGCAGTGTATAATGAGAAAAAAAACTGACCGTGTTTTTGGATTAAAACGCCGACTTTGAGGTGTATTTTCATATAGTACTTGTAGCTTTATTCTCATTCTCTTGGTCTTATTTGACAGAATGGAAGACATATTACAGAAATAGAGATGATTTTGAGTGGTTTCACGAAGAAAAGGACCTTGAAATTGAGCTCAAAGTAGCGGAAATGTTCGATTTTTCCCTAAATTTAAGAGGCATTCTAATACGCAGTCACGAATGGATTGACATTATTTATACAATTATTACAATAATGCAGTAGTCTGCATAACAATAAATCTTCTACATTATGTGAATAAAAATTCAAAATAGAAAGCAAGAGTAATAAAAGAGGGGCCTGGAGACATGACCCATGAACAGAGAAAATGCTATTTTAGTGCCAGGAATGTCTGCATTGTGTATTCTGGACCCTATTTTGAAACTGGCATCTTTTAAAATTTGTGTGAAATTGGCCAAATTGCCAAATTCTGACCACTTTATTGGGTAGTTGAAATTGGTAAATGGGCAAACATTTCTTGTACTCAATCGATATAACAAATGGAATTCTAAAGAAATAGCTATGAGTTTGGTTGACTGGAATAATGGAATTGGCTGAAAATAGGGCTCAAAGTGGGTGAAATTGACTGTGTGTATATATCGCCTAGATCGCTAACTTTGCGAGAGCATAATTCCTTAAGTTTTCCATCAAATTTCATACTATTGGTGTCGTTACTATCAGGAAAATCTCTATCATTTCATAAGTTGAAATATTTTTTTTTAATATTTTGTGACACAGACACTTGAGGATTTAGGGTCTCGACAGTTGTAGGCTTAAGACCATCATAAACAGGTGATGTCACAATATGCATAATAAGGGCATTCATGATTTCTCACATTATCAAAGGATAGTAAAAATAACAGGACAACAGAAGACTTATAAAGTACATAGCCAAAACATGTGAGTGTAATGAAGATTTAGTCAGGTCACATGTAAGAAAAAAAAATAGAGTGACATGTCAGGCATAGTTTAAAATCCTCACAAATTCTATGGCAGGCCCCATCATTTTATTTCCCCTCATGTGGCAAACTTTAAAAAACAAAGGACACTTTGAGAGCGAATATTTTTCTAAGCAGAACTTTTTTTTTTTAATCCTTTCAGGGTTGGCAGGCCCTCTCCTAAATTTGTTCTCAGGATTGGAAATTTTTTGGAAAAAAAAAAAATATTTTTTCTTATGAAATGATAGAGAATCTTTCCCCAATCATAATGACACCAAAAGTATGAAATTTGATGGAAAACTTACGGAATTATGCTCTCGCGAGGTTAGCGGTCTCGATGATGTTTATGCAGCAACGATTTTGCCCACTTTGAGCGCTATTTTCGGCCAATTCCAATGTACCAGTCGACAAAAATCATAACTATTTTGCTAGAACTCCATTTTTTCTATCAAATCAGTACAAGAAACCACCCACTTACCGATATCAACTATCCAATAAAGTGGTCCGAAATTGGCAATTTTGCCAATTTCGGACCACTTGAAATTTGTGTGAAACTGGCAATTTTGCCAATTTCACACAAATTTCAAAAGATGCCAATTTCCAAATAGGGTCCAGAATAAACAAGACAGACATTCCTGGCACTAAAATAACATTTCCTCTGTTCATTAGTCACGTCCCCAGGCCTCTGTTACATTTCTTTTGTTTTCCACTTTGAATTTTTATTCTCACAAAAAATAGAAGATTTACTGTTATGCAGACTACTGCATTAGTGTAGAAATGGTATAAATAATATCAGCGCACTTGTGAAAGAGTACTAGACTCACCAGTTGACGTGTATTGGATGCATGGCATGAATTATTTACTTTTAAACTTTGGCAAAAATTGAACATTTCTGCTACTTTGAGCTCAATTTCAAGGTACTTTTCATTGTGAAACCAATAAAAATCATCTCAATTTCTGTAATATGTCTTCCATTCCATAAAATGAAACCAGGAAAACTAGAATACAACCATAAATAGCATACGAAAATACACTGCAAAGTCGCTGTTTTAAACCAAAAACACGGTCGGAGTTTTTTTTTCTCATTATGCACTGTGTGCTGAAGGATTTTTTTTATTCTGTGCACACTGACCACATAGACCCATTCTTTCATATGTAGGCCTACCAGCTTTCTCTCGCTAGATTTGAAGGTGCTAGAATTTACGAGTACTAGTACGGCACCAACCCTGAAAGGGTTAAACGCTTTGGCCGTCTCCCACTGAGGCAGGATGACCTAAAAAAGAAACACACACTTTCACCATCATTCATACATAATCATTGTCTTTGCAGAGCTGCCCAGATGTGACAGTTTAGATGTCCCTCCAAACAGCCAATATCCAAAGCCCCTCCTTTAAAGTGAAGGCATTGTACTTCCCACCCCCAGGACTCATGTTCGGCTAACCAGATTCCCTGAATCCCTTCACAAAATATTACCCTGCTCACATTAACAGTTCATCAGGTCCCAAAAACCATTCATCTCCATTCACTCTTATCTAACATGCTCACACATGCTTGCTGCATGTCCAATCCATCCTAGGATGA